ACCGCAGCCTCCAACTGCCGGGCTCCGGCGATCCTTCCGCCTCAGCCTTCCAGGTAGCCGGAATTACAGGCATGCGCTACCACGCCCGGCTGATTTTTTGATTTATTGTAGAGATGAGGTCTCGCTGCCCAGGCGGGTCTCGAGCCCGAGGGCTCAGACAATCCACTCACCTCAGCCTCCCAAAGGCGTGGGATTACAGGCTGAGCCACCGAGGCCGGCTGGTCTCCAATCTCTTGTTCAAAATCCCTATGTGTTTTGGAATGTGTGGCTTGTTAGATTCTCGAAAGGTGATATGGGACACCTGCAATGTATTAAATAATACCACCAGCAGAGTCTGAACTCCACCTTGGAATCAAACATACCAAGTAGAACAAATAACGACTAAGCGACTTTATTTGAGGTCAGGTCAAGTTTTCCACTAAAGGAGTTACCAGGATACTTTTGTTTTCCAGAGCTTTTCAGATTTTTTAAATTGTTATAAGGTCCAAGGACCACCCTGGTAGAGTTGTTTGAAGGCTCAAATGAGATACGTGTGTGAAAAATGAAGTAGAAAGGAAAACCACAAAGGGTATAGAGGCCCTGCTCTTCTTGACTAGGAATGAAAAGAATTTTGCTTTTTCTGACATTTGTGTGTGTGTGAGGAATTTATAAAGGGCACTCTCTGATAGCCTTTTGGAAGCCATGTCTCCACAGCAGGAAAGGAATAACCTAGTTTAAAGAATGCATCTGAGTGTAGTTGGGGACATTCGAATGATCAAAGGCAGTTCCCCTAACTTCTTCCTCACCTTGATTTCTCTCCTTCTGTAGGGGCTGGGGCTGGGGCTGAGGTTGGGGCTGGGCTAAGCTCGGAGATGCTGGAACTCAGAGTGATAGGGACCCTCTTTTGATGGAAATCAGGTCTTCACTGTCAACCTCCCCGCTCAGCTGTGAACTCTGTTAGGCAGGGTCTGTCTTGTTCATGGCTGGGTCTCTAACGCCTAGTGTTTGCCCAGGGTGGGCACTTGATATTTATTATTTTGCTGAATTGAATTGAAACTGATCTCTTATGTTCCTTGTTGTGACAGAAGGCAGAGTTGGTGTTGTCTTAACTTCCATTGTTTTCATCTTCAGGCAAAAATCCCTCCTCCCAGGGGGTCATTCTGCCTGATTCTGTCTCTGTTCACTGTTTTTTTTTTTTTTGAGTTGGAGTCTCACTCTGTCGCCCAGACTGGAGTGCAGTGGC